CAAAAAAAAAAAAAAAAATAACAACCCAGGCAAAGAACGGGTACTTCAGCTAGTCATCTACTAAAAATCAAACATTCTACTGTAACACATTTTAATTTTATTTCTAAAAATATTTTTTGTCCTGATTTACATTTGTTGTTGAGTAGTGTATATAGAAGTGATTGCATAATAGGTTATAATAAAGTCTAACTCTTGTAGATTGTGGGGTGGTTGTTGGGGGGTGCACATGGTGAGGGGGGCTGCCATGCTCTAGGTCCCAGGAGTGGGCCCAGGGTCGGGAGAGGGAGGAGGGAACTGTGCGCTGCAGAGCTCACCCAGGCGGTGTGGTGCAGGTGTGTTCCCTGGCCTCAACCCTGGCCAGCACACACACCTTCCTGGCAGGGCTGCTTCCAATACAACTGCAGTCTCTCAGGTGGTACTCGGTTTCCCCCAACTCCAGCTGCTCCCCCTCCCCCTCCTCCTCCTCCTGGCCCTGCTGTACCACTCCAGGCAGGGGGGAAGCCACAGCCCTGGGAGGCTCCTGCCCCTGCTCATGGGGCTCCAGCTCCATCTCCTGGCTGCCTTCCACTTGCTTCACCCACCTGGCATAATGTTCAGTCATGTGCGGGTGGCTGAATGGGGACCAGGACTGGGACCAGGATGGGGACCAGGACGTCCTGCAGGTATGGGTGGCAGCACAGTGCTGGCTGCCCTGGGTGGGAGTGGGTGGGGTTTGGCCCCATGCAGAGTGCTGCGGGGAGAGCTGCAGGCTGGATCCAATCAAAGGGCATGCGCCCACCCATAAGCCAGATCCAATCAGTTGGTAGGCCAGATCTGGCCCATGGGCCTTATTTTGCCTGATCCTAGTCTGTGACATTGTTTTGCCAAGTCTAGGCTGCCTCCAGTTCTCTGGGAAGATGACAGATTCCTTTCCCTGTAATTTTTTTTCATCTCTAGGTTCTCCCCAGGGCTGTACAGATGGGAGAGGGGTCAGCAGGGGCCAGGGCCAGGGGCACAGAGACTAGACAGTGAAGCATACAAAGCAGGCTATGGCTGCTCTGCCTCCCAACTCACCTGCTGCCCTCTTGGGGACACGTAAGACGACACAGCATGGGCATGCTGGTGGGAGAGAAAAAATTCCCCTCGTTATTGGTTGTGGCGTTAATGATCTTGTTGAATCTGAGAGCTTTAAGGTTCACGTGTCCATTTGTCAGGGGCTGTTTCTGGGCTGCCATTAATCTAAAATGGGGAGCTGTGGCTGGTGAGAAAACCCGTTGCCAGTACTGTGGCAACAAAGTTTGATACCTGGAGCAAAGCCTACACGAGCAGCCCACCTTTGCCCTGTGCACACAGCTCCCTCATGCTTGCCTGGGAGTGCCTGCAGCAGCCGGAGCCACCCTTCCCCGGTCCGTCCCCCCCAAACAAGCTGCTCATGGCTCCATCCCATGCCCCACCTGGGCTGGGAAGCCCCTGTTGGCGTCCCTTCACTTTGGCACCCAGGGTGCTCGCCCCACTCGACCACCCCCCACCCACTATGGCACTGCCCCTTGCAGCCACTTCCAAGAATGTTTTTAAAGTTCAGCTGCTAGTTTGTGTGTGAGAGAAGCCAGTACACTCAGGAGAGGAGCGCCCCAGCAGAATGTACCATAGCACCGCTTCTGTGCCTGGTTTTCTCCACATAAATGTGAGTTTCCCAAGAACCCTGCTCCACCTTGGCTTGTCACTCACATATGGGTCCCAAAGGCTTCACTAGGAGCTACACATGAGCATCCAAAGGCCAACACTGCCCCTTCCATGATCACTGCGCTTAGCTGAGAACTGGGTTCCAAATACAAGGGAATTGTGACATGCACCAAACTCATCCCTTCTGCAGTGCAGTGCAGAGAGGGGTTCTGCCCTCAGGGCCATACTGCCAGTTATCTGCGCAGTTCTTCTCCATCAGCGAAGGATAAAGGCATAATGCAAATCTGTTGCACAGCAGCAGGGTGTGCTCAATTTTCAGCAGCACTCGCTGGAAATACAGCCCCTAGGAGGCAAAAGGGAAGATATTCCCCACATTGACCACTGTCAGAGTGTGCTGCCTGCCAAGTGATGTCTACTAGCCAAGTGGTTGGCTGCTAAGATCAGTATCTACTGCTACAAGGACATTGCTAGACTCCCATATTTCTGCTTTTACCTCCTGCAGTGCACTAAGCCAAGGGCTTGAGTGGGAGGGATAAATCAGTCACACAGCCAGACCCAAGCAACCTAGGTGTTGGACTGTGAGAGCTCACAGCAGCAGCAGCAGCAGCAGCAAGGGCAGCCTACAGAGGAGGGCTTGAGAACTGAGTGGTATTCTTCAAGCCTTCTGTGTAAAAGCTAGGTTAGGGCTGGAAAGCAAACTCAGCTGTCACTCTGCTGCATTCCAGGCATTCCCAAGGACTTGTAAAACAGACGGAGAAAAGCCTTGGGAGGGAAGGCATTTGAAGATTAATTTTTAACAAGAGATTTCACCTTGAAACTGGGACCATGTTTTCTGGATTTCAGTACAGCCTCTTTCTGTTCCTGTGCCTCACCGCATGTCAGGAGTCTCAGGCTTCCCAGGTAAGCTCACCACTCAATCACATCCATACAGGGTCTTAGAGCATATGCAAAGGAGCTGTCTGTTACCACCTTCTGGCTCTTCTGCTTGCTGTTCCATTCCATTTCATGTAGAGAATAGTCCTTTTTTATCAGGAAAAAATGGGTTTGACTCTCTGGAGCAATTCCCTGGAATGTGTGAGAGAGTCTGCATGATGCACGGAGCAGCAAGTGTGTTCGTAGAGGAAACTGGAGTAGCAGAAATAACTATAGGTAACAGATCCTTGTATGTTTAAGGAATAACTTGGAATGCAAATTAGTTTGTGGAATGGAATAGTTTGTGCAGAGCTGTTTTCATGAATACCTATGGTATTTTCTGGAACTGTGTTTTTTATAAATATATTAGAAAGCTACCAATCCTTCAAAGCTCTTTCTGGCTATTTTCTTCTCTTGCTGATGCTTTTCTCATTCAAAGGCAGGGCAGTTGTTAACACTGACATTAAGAAAAATACAAGGACTGAAGTTTTCATGATTCACTGTGCATCACTGAAACTTCTCAGAGGACATTGGGCATTAAGGAAGTTGTAAAATTCACTGGATTTGTAACTCCAACAGTGAAATATAGAGTCAAGTCAAATGATCCCACCTCTGTCTTCACATTTTTACTTGCAGTGCAACCTTTCCCACAGTATAACTGTATCTGATTTTTCAATAGAGTCTAGACAGAATCTATCCCATACATACTTGAATTTTGCAGCCCAGTAGCAGGCTATGGGTTATAATACAGTCTATAGCTATCATGAGAAATTAAAAGGGCATGCACAAGAATGTTGTCTTTGTATAATACTACCAGTAATACTTAAGTCTTTCATTTACCAGCATGTGCTATTTACCAGGTCAAGACTAGAGTATAATGTACATTTTTTGTCTTGACCTGGAGTGCTATCCTGTCATAGGTAAAGTCAAGCACTGACTGCTTCTCTGAGGGAGCTGTTACCTACTGGTGAATATTATAGTTCAACACACTACAGTGAACTTATGCAGGCTGCTTAAGTTAAAAATAACCCTTTAACAAAGAGCTTATTATAAAAAGAAACTGCCTGCCAGGAATCTGCTCACTTTTTTGCAGTTTTCTGCATGACACATCCAGCCATTATATTTTTGTTTTATGGAAGCATTGGGCAACAAATACTATCCAAAAATGTAGATGGTATCTTAAACACCCCCTCCTTATACTAGAAGAGCATGATGATTGCAAAATTAAGCACTCACAAATCTAGACAGGCCAGAGTTAAGTCTGCCCATACAACTTTAATTCATCCCCCTAATTCTGTAAGGATTTTCATGCAGTGTTCAGCAGCTCACTAGTTCTTCTGCCTGATTCTGCCTCCTTAAATTCACAGGCTGGACAGGGCTCAGTGAATGAGACAACTGTTCAAGGTTTGCTTTCATCCCCTCCTGCCTCTGTGGCTCTGCTCCATATTTACTGTGCACTGTCCTAACTCTGCATCAAACAAGGGATTTTTGTTTCCTCAAAAGCGTCTCTATTGCACTGGTCCATGCATTCCATAGACATGTATTAAGTTCAGTCGAGGGGCTTAACATGATTATCTCCACTGCGTATGGGGGAAACTGAGGCAGGAAGCTTAATGATCAGACAGGCAATCTGGGGGACCTCAGTGATTGTGTGCCCAGCTCAAGACACCAAGGACTCAATCATAGAATCATAGAATCAATGAGTGGGAAGGGACCTAGACAGATCATCGAGTCCGACCCCCTGCCATGGGCAGAAAGGAGCACTGGGAGTGGGAAGGGTCATAAGATCCCAGCCAGGTGCCTATCCAGTCTCCTCTTGAAGATCTCCAGGGACGGTGAGAGCACCATCTCTCTGGGAAGCCTATTCCAGGCTCTGGCCACCCTTACCGTGAAGTAGTTCTTCCTAATATCTAACCTAAACCTATCCTCCCCCAGCCTGAGCAAGACCTCTCTGGACCTGTTAGTGATGCCCCTGTTGATGCAGGACAGGGTGCGGTTGGCTCTGCCTACTGCTTCATCGCACTGGTGACTCATATTCATCCTGGAGTCAATCCTGACTCCAAGATCTCTCTCTGCCTCTGTGCTGCAGAGAGGGTCAGCCCCTAACTTATAACCATAATGCTGGTTCCCTCTCCCCAGGTGCAGCACCCTGCACTTG